CCTCTCCCGTTCATGCTCTCTCTCTGTCCCAAAAATAAACGTTGAAAAAAAAAAATTTTTTTAAATAAATAAATAAAAATCTTTTTAAAAAAAGAAAAAAATGGGCAAAGGAGTCCAATATCATTCAAAAAATTATAGTTAACCAATGAACATAAAAAGGGAATGCTGGTTCTCACAAGTAATGAGGATTATGCAATTTAAACAAACCAAGAATTACTTTTTTTTTTTTTAGACGTCTTTTAAGAGCAGTTTTAGGTTGGAAGCAAAATGGAAAGGTACAGAGCGTTCTGTACCACCTCCCCCCACACATGCATAGCCTCTCCAACTATCAACACCCCTCCCTGGAGCGGTATATTTGTTACAATTGATGGACCTACATTGACACATCACAATCACCCAAAGATCATAGTTGACGTTAGGGTTCACCCTTGCTGTTGTACATTCTGTGGGTTTTGACGAATGTATAAAGACGTGCCCACCATTACAGCATCCTACAGAATAGTTTCAATGCCCTAAAAGTCCTCTGCGCTCTGCCCATTCATCCCTCCCCATCTGCTAAGCCCTGGAAACCACTGATCTTCTTAGTGTGTCCCTAGTTTTGCCATTTGCAGATATCCTATAGTTAGAATCATACGGTACTCAGCCTTTTCAGATTGGCTTTTTCACTTAGTGAAACATTTGAGAGAACTGCCTTTTTAACAAACTGCCTTTCATTGATTAAAAAAAAAAAAGTGATTGGGGCGCCTGGGTGGCTCAGCCGGTTGAGCGTCCAACTTCGGCTCAGGTCATGATCTCACAGCTTGTGGGTTCGAGCCCCGCGTCGGGCTCTGTGCTGACAGCTTGGAGCCTGGAGCCTGTTTCAGATTCTGTGTCTCCCTGTCTCTGCCCCTAACCCACTCGCATTCCGTCTCTGTCTCTCTCAAAAACAAATAAACATTAAAAAAACAATGATAAATGATCTGTTGGTGGAGGTATGCAAATACAGGCTTTCTCTAACGCCCAGATGGAAGAATGATCAGTTTACGGCTGGTTGAAGGCAATTTGGTAACTACAGCCAAACTGCAAACGGTCGTATTTTTCCACTCTGCAGCCAGCAAATACAGCAATGTGCTATGATACATCTTGTAATGAAATAAGTTGTAGTCCAGCTACGTTATGCAATACTTTTGTAGTCATTAAAAACACTGCTGTGGGGGGGGGGGGGGGCCTGGGTGGCTCAGTCGGTTGAGCATCTGACTCGATTTCGGTTCAGGTCATGATCTCACAGTTTGTGAGATCAAACCCTGCGTCAGGCTCTGGCTGACAGTGTAGAGCCTGCTTGGGATTCTCTGTCTCCCTCTCTCTGCCCCTCCCCTGCCCGTGCACACACACACACATACACACACACACACACACTCTCTCAAAGAAACTTTAAAAAATAAAAATAAAAAGTAAATTTAAAAACTGCTATGACTATGTAAGGAAAGAGGTCTCATTCTACCCCACTTTTAAAAATAAATGGTACTATGTACAAATATACTTCTACTTGGGGAGGTGGAGTGGAACATCAAGGATTTTTTACTTGTTTTGGAAACCGTTCACTGCATCGTTTTGAAGTTTTTATTTCAATTCCAGTTAGTTAACATACAGTGTAAAATTAGTAAAATTAGTTGAGTCACGATAGAGTGATTCAAGACTTCCATGCAACACCCCGTGCTCATCACAAGTGCCCTCCTTCATCCCCATCACCCATTTAAAAAAATTCTTTAAGGTTTTATTTAGGTAACCTCCGCACCCAACAGGAAATTAAACAACATAGAGAGCTGCATGAAGCCCATTCTTTTTCTTGAGTGCTATAGTTGCTTATCTGGGACACGCTCATCATAACGTCAAATGGAACAAGGGAAGTTTGTATCAGGCAGGGGCACAAAGTCAGAAAGTATAGATTTTTACAGTGGTAGGGACGCCTGGGTGCCTCGGTCGGTTAAGGATTTCCAACAGCATGGAACCAGCTTGGGTTTCTCTCCCTCCCTCTCTCTCTGTCCCTCCCCTGCTTGTACGCTCTCTCTCAAAATATAATGTTTACAGTGCCAGACAGAATGCGTAGGGGTTAGACGTGGTGGCGATCAGTAAAATCCCCCATGTGACGTGATGCTTTGGCTGGTTCTTCATTTCTTACAAGCTTGACGGGTGATAAAAAGGGCCAGGTAGGTTTTTCGGGTGTTTTGTTTTGTTTTTTAATCCTGCAGGTTCCTTTTTGAGGTCCAGATTTGACCCATCCTTGTTTCCTGGTTTCAAAATCCTATTTCAAAACTGCTGCATTCAGATTTCACAGAAGGGGCTCCTCCTAAGGCTGGACAGCTTAGACACATATGTAAGACAGCCTTCTCACAGTCCAAAATCACCAATGCAAAATGGAAATAGCCCCTGACGTATGGGAACTGGCCTGGCACTCACAGCTATGCCTTGTTCTCCTGTGAGCATAAATGCCTTCGTAGAACACCAGCATCCTCTGTGTTGGTGATGAAGGCAGACAAAATAGGAACGCTATCCAACTCTCAGAAATGAACAAACATC